CTGCCCCTCTGCCAGGTCCCCTCCTGCCCCCCTGCCAGGCCCTCTCCTGCCCCTCTGCCAGGCCCTCTCCTGCCCCAGGCACCAGGGTTGGGATGCTGGCACAGGCCTGCTTGGGCTCCCAGGAGAAACTGTTTAGGACAGGACGTTGGTGACCGATGCCCATGTCTTGGCCTCAGTGACAGGCGGCTACGACCCCTTCATCCGCCTGTGGAACCCCTTGTTCTCATCAAGGCCTGTGTGGCTGATGAAGGGCCACCAGACCTCGGTGACACACGTCCTCGTGAGCAGCACCAACAACAGCATCCTCATGAGCGTCTCCAAGGACAAGGTGCGACCCTCCCGGCTCCCCCACCACTTCCTGTTCCTAATGTCCCAGTTGGACCAGCCTCGTGGCCAGACAGCTGGGAAGAGTGGAGGCCCAGAGGGCACGCTGTGACCTCCCGGCCTGTGGTCCTACACCTGGCTAAGTGCCCCAGGTGGGATCATTTGAGAGAAGCCATGGAGCCCTGGTGGCATAGTGGTCACTGGTTGGGCTGTGACCCCCAAGGTCAGCAGTTCGAAAACACCAGCGACTCCTTAGAAGAAAGTTTCAGTTAGTCTCAAACTCCCCAGGGGAAGTTCCGCTCTGTCCCACAGGGTCTCCATGACTCCTCATTGGCTTGGTGGCAGTGTTTGGTTTGATTATGTGGGTCCCCGGCCCAACTTGCGCTGGTCATCAGATGGAAGCTCCTGTGTAGGCCAGCCTGACTGTTTACTCTGTGGCCCTGGCCACGGCCCCTCCCTTTCCTGAGCCCACATCTCCTTATCCACAGAAAAAGTTGCTGAGTGATTTAAAGAAGCGTAAGGTACCGGCACAGCCAGCCACATTGTGGGTGTGCAGTGCCTGGAGCCTGCTTCCTGCCCGGCCCTCTCCCAGACTCAAACACCCACCACCCAGCTCTGCTTCTTGTGGCCCCTCCTCGGCTGCCTGGTGGCCAGGGCCCCACTGGGTGTTTGCAGAGCCAGCATGTGGGCCCAAGTCTGGCCAATCCCAAGTTCATGTCCTCTGCAGCTCGCTGCAGATGTCCTGGAGCTGTGAGGGTCCTGGAACGGGTTTCCACGGGGATCTCCTGGGAGGGTCTCTCAACCCAGAATGAATCTGGGGCGCTACTCTGGGGACCAGCAGGCCTTTTTGGCAACGATGTTGTCGCCACTCCCTTTGTGTGTGTGTCACCCTGGTGGGGCCTCGGAGAGGCTGGGCTGTGGCTGGCTGGGCTGTGGCTGCCCCAAAGTGGGGGGTGGGTGGAGCAGGGCAGGGGCGGGACGCTGCTTCTGGGCTGAGCTGGTGAGTGAATGCTCTTCAGGGCCCACCGTGCCTCAGTTTCCTCATCTGAGCAGTAAGAGCAACCTCTTGTTGCTGGGAGTGACCGTGGGAGGACACAGTGCAGAGAGAGCATCTTAGGAGGGCTTGGGCAGTGTGCACCTGGCCCTGCGTGCAGGGAGTGTTCACAAAGACTCCTCCCCCAGGAGGACCCTCTGCCTCTTTGCTTGTTTGGCACCCCTAGAATATCCGGGTGTGGGACATGCAAGACTACGTGTGCCTCCAGTCCTTCTGCGGGAAGCTCCTGGGGCTGGGAAACTGCCCCATCACCAGCATCTGCCTCTACAAGGGAGACACCTTCATCTGTACTACCTACTCCGTAAGTGCTGCCCGCTGAGGGGAGGGGTGGTCCCAGCGGCTGGCATCTCATGTCTCACAGGGTGGTGACCCCTGGCCAGTCCCCAGCCTGCTCTTCACTGCCACCAGGGTGAGCCTGATAAATGCCTTTCCCTGGCCCCCCAGGCTCAATCTCGGGGGTTTGCCCGCATGCCTGGGCTGCCCGGCTGCCCTCTGCCCTCCTACCTGCTATTCTCCTGCAGACTCTCTGCAGGGAAGCCCACCTTGACCCCAGGCTGAGTGAGGAGGCCCTGCTCCACGCCTCCTCAGCTCAGCGCCTTCCTCAGCCACGGCCCTTATCCTTTGGTGCCCTTATCACAAGCTGTGCATGTGATTGTGCTTCCTGCTGAGTCCTGCACCCCAGAAGGAGAGGCCAACCTGAGGAAACGGACCCACAGCCCACCCCTGAGCTGGGCCCCCCCGGGGGCCACACTGACCCTTGTCGTATCTGCCACCAGGCCATCCTGACAGGGGACCCCTGAGGGACTCTCCTGCAGAAGAAGTGGGGCTGGGGCCTTGTCTCTGTGGAGTGCTGGGCTGGCAGCCAGCATTCTCACTGAAAACGCTCACTCCTGTGGAGTCGTCCCGACTCATAGCGAGCCTACAGGACAGGGTGGAATTGGCCCTGTGAGCTCCTGAGACTGTCACTCTTTATGCAAATAGAAAGCCTCTTCTTTCTCCCATGGAGCAGCTGGTGGTTTTGAACTACTATTCTTATGGTCAGCAGCCCAACTATCCACCTTGTGGTCAGCATAACCCACTATGCCACCACTACCACCAGGACTCTCTATGTATTCCTTCAAAACACAGAATCAAAGACAAACACAGCAAACTCATTGCCTTTCGGTCACTGTCGACCCCTGAAGACCCTCATGGAGGGCAGAACTGCCCTCGGGCGCTCCTGAGACGGTCACTCTGCAAAGGAGAACAGAAAGTCCCGACTTTCTCCCTAGGACCAGTTGGTGGTTTCGAACTACTGACCTTGTAGCTAGTGAACGAATGCATAACCACTACGACACCAGGGGTTGGGCAAGTGCGATGGCCTGAAATGAACTTCAAACGCTTACTCACTTCTACCAATGCAGACCGTCAGTATAAACCCTGTTGGCATAGCGGGTTACGAGTTGGGCTACTAACCTCCAGGTCAGCAGTTCAAAACCGGTGGCCACCCTGAGGGAGAAAGATGAGGCTTTCTACTCCCTTAAGGAAGTCATCCTGGAAGCCCACAGCAGGAGTTCCACGCTGTCCTATAGGGTCTCCATGATGAGTCAGAATCGACTTGATGTCACTTAGTGAGAAGAATAGATTAAACCCTGTCCCACATCTCTTACAAGGAACCGATGAGGTTAAAAAAAAAAAGAAGGAAGAAGAACAGACAATTTGAGAAGAAAGTGCTAAGAGTTATGTTCGAGTTGTGTGTTAGACACTTTAAGGAACATGGACAATGGCCATCTAGCCCAGCCTGGGGCAGGGGTGGTCAAGGAAGGCTTCCCAGAGGAGGACAGCCTCCACATTCAGCTTTCCAGGCATCATGATGGGTGGACGACCTTGGGCTAGACTTGGATTTGGGATTCTAGGAATGCTTTGGTCTGGGACGCCCAACCCGGCCGGGGCAGTGGGGTCGTGGAGTGGGGGTAAGGGTCCAGGGTTGGGAGCTTTCTCCCTGGACCTGCCCCCTGACGGCCCAGCTGTCCAACCTCCGTCACCCACAGATTGGGATCCTCAGCGGGTACTTGGAGTCCCAGGGGCCCAAGAAAGGGGAGAAGACCACCACCCACCGATCCCCACTGTGCGCAGTCCTCTACAGCAAGATCTTCAGGCTGGTGAGTGGCAGTGGGGGACCAGGACAACTGTGAGGTTGGCTGAGGGCTGGGGACACCGGGAGGACTCAGACCCTCTCATGTCGGTGCCAGGATCTGTGCCCCAGGAACAGTCCTCTCAGGGAGGGTGCGCCGAGGGAGCAGGGTGTCCACAGCATTGGCGGTGGCATGTGGACAGCGGGAAAGATCAGGGCCAGCCTATTGGCCGGACCTACTCGGTCACTGGTTCGCCCAACTCCTTCGACCCCCTCGGTGCTCTTGGCAGATGGCCATGGGCTAATTCTACATGGGCAGCCATCGGAACAAACCACTGCCGTGGAGCCGATGCTGACTCATAGTGACCCTAGAGTTCAGGGTTGACCGGCCTCTGTGGGTTTCTGAGACGGTCACTCTGTACCGAGAGCCCTGTCTTTCTCCTGAGGTGTGCCTGGTGTGACCTCTCGGGTCACAGTCACCACTAAGCCAGCTGGGCCCCTATCTGCACAAGCCCTGCGAGACTGAACACGGGGGAGGTGGGGTGTCCTGTGGCCCCAGTGTGGGCGTGGTTTGGACATCATTTTCCAGAGAAGCCATTGCTTGACTTTAGTCTATAGCCAGCTCCCATCAGGACCCCTTCTGTGGCCTGGGTGCTAGGCAGGGTGTCTGCATCAGTTACTGCACGATGATGCCTTTGGCCCCAGGATGCACAGCCTCCCTCCATCCTGACGTTGGCACCCCGCCCCTCACTGCCTCTGAGCTCTTCCATGCCTTTCGACCGACCGGAACCAGCCTTTCTCGTTGTCCTCAGCAGGGAGGTTGGCCTGAAATCCTGCCCTGTTCCTGCTACATTGTAACAGTTGTAACAACAGCCAAATGTATCAATGTGTGTGTGTGGGGAGACCTTTGACTCTCAGGATTCCCCTGCAAGCATGACTTTGAGGGGGCATCATTTCCTGTCTCCCCCCACCCCCACCTCCCTGGCCCCAATGAGTGATGCTGCAGTTAAGGTCTTTTCCAAATGAGGGATCGTATTCTCTGGCTAGGTCTGATAGGTGCCATTTCCCAGGGAAAGGAGACACCACTCCAAACGTCTCCTGAC